TATCGGCCCAGTCTGAGGAAACATTCAGCTGGGGCTAACCGCTGTTAGCTTAGTTAGCATTGGTGTTTAAGGGGAGCAACAGGAGACGAAGCCGAGGGCTTCTGAAAGGATGCTTAGACTGGGGTCAAAGGTCAGACTGCGGCTTTAATAGCTGCCAGTTTCCTGCGGACATGTTTTTTTTTTTTATTAGATGATGGGATTTATCCAGAACAAGAACGGATTATAAAACCAGCTTAACAATGTCTGCCCTGCACCATGGCTGCTAACGTGCTATGCTAACGTGTCTGCAGAGAGGAGCTGGACCTGGAGGACATGGTGGACATCGAGTTGGACTTCCCTACCCTGGCCGACCCTCAGGACGCCCCGTCTTCTTCTGTGGTAGAGGTGGGTTCCTGTCCTGTGTGGACGCAGGTCCTTCCTCCTCCTTCCTGCTCCTGTTCTCCCTTTCCTGCTCCTGTTCTCTTGTTCCTCCTCTCCTTCCTGGTCCTGTTCTCTCCTTCCTCCTCTCCTTCCTGCTCCTGTTCTCTCCTTCCTCCTCTCCTTCCTGGTCCTGTCCTCTCCTTGCTTGTCTCCTTCCTCTTTTTTCAGATTTTTCCAGATGAAGGTTTCATCTGGAGACGTTTCAGATTAAAGCCAAAATGTCGGCCATGTTTTTGTGCCTTCTTTGTGAATTGGATCATTTTTCATGTCGTTAGTCTTTAATGTGTTCAGGTTTATATAAACAAATGTCCAGTTTTAAACGTTGCTACTCCTGCTAACCTGTTAGCATGCGTCAGTGAGTCCTGATTGAAAGTAACCAGGGGTCACTAATAGGCAGACCTCGGTGCGGACCTGAAACTGAGACCAAAACAGAAAAAAGTAAAATCTCAGTGAGCACTTTCTGGTTGAGCTGCACAGCTTTTATAGTCTTTACGGTTACTGACGGAACGTCAGTCTGGCTGTTCCACATGATGCCGCCGATCTGACTGGCTTCCTGACTGGGAAGGACGGAGAAACAGGCTGAAATGAAAGAGGGAGAAACGGGACAGCTGGAGATAGGCCCCGCCCCCGCCATGACTCAGCATCATTGCTCTTTTCTACCAAAGCCATCATTAGGTGGCGGTGGCTCCCGTGTTTGGGCAGAAAGTTTAAAGGTTTGTTTTCCAGAATAATCCGGCGCTGGTTAGGGAACCTTGGAGCTGCAGGGTTCCTCCGAGCGGCAGCCATCTTAGAACAGAGAATAGAAGAACTCTTCCTTTAAATACTGTTTAAATTAAATGAACGCCTCAGTAACCTCCAGTTAATCTCAGACTGTTAATCCCATCACCACCAGATTAAGCTAATGTTTCTAGATGAATCCAGCCAGTAGAGGAGGTTCCTGTTTGGCGACACCTTGTGGTCACCATGTGTATGAAGAGCCTTCAGCTGCTCTGATGCTGCCTCTCCTCCTTCTGTCCAGGACCAGGACTGCTCAGCTACTCCAGTTAAAGTCCAGAAGACGGAGGATCCCAGCGTGGCCTAGAGCGTCTCAGCAGCACCCCCTGCTGCTGGAGGTTTGCTCTGCAGGAGGTGGACAGTCGGTGACTCTGCTGATGTTCCAGTGAACCACAGGAGCACTTCTAAGCAGCCGAGCTTCATGTGTTCTTCTTCACTGCTGGAGGAGGCGTCCAGCGTCTGTCCTGCATGTTTCTGGTAGAAGGTTTCAGTTTGAGGAAAGAAAAGGTGTTTAGTTTTAATGATTCCTCTGAGGGAAGGTTTGGAAAATGTTTTAATTCAGCTGCATTGATTCCTTTTTTTTTAATTCCGGTCTTGTTTCTTATTGCTGTTGGAAATGTTTTAAATAAAAGAACGCACTGAAAACCTTTGTCTGTTTTTCTTCTCATTTTAGATGTAAACCTCATTTAACTCAATTTAAATATACTTTATTAATCATGTGGAGAGATAAAATAACTGCAGCTGATCCTATGGATCCAATGATTTCATCTGATCCTAAAACTGGCTGAAGGGTTTGTTCTAAATAAAGGAGCCAGCTGATTGGTTCCAGTCACTGACCTGCAGGATTCACCCCCAGCCTCAGGAAAAGGACTTCCCAGTAGAAAATAAATAAAATTAGACATGTTTCAGTCAAAGGGTTCTCTAAACTCTAAAGCTACTCAGGCTTTTAGCTGTTGGACAGTTTTCTGGGAGTTTTTTTCCAGATTAGCAGATAATTCAAAGCTGCTCCATGTTTGCTTCTGGTTCTGCGGAGCAGACCTGAGTGGTCTGGCTGTTGATCCCCTGGAAAAGATGCATTCATCTATGAAAACCAATGATCAGGTCTAAAAGATAAAAATGTTAAAGACGAAAAGCAGTCATGGAAAAATGATTGGGCAACCTTTAGATTTTTTATCTAGATAGATTTTATTTTTCCAGTTGTTTAATTTTAGAACCAGACACTGAAGTTTAGCTAGTGCTAGCTTACGGAGCTAAACTGCTGACATTTTGTTCAAAAAAGTAAAACTGAAATTTTTTTATTTTATCTGAAAAAGGAAGTTTGCAGGGTGGGGACTATAAATCTGATATCTGAGACGATGGTCCTGCTGCTGAAGCTCCTCAGAAATGTTATGAACACCCAGAACAGCAGGGAGAAGTGATGGAGGGTTATTGTCATTGGATGGTTTAAAGGATTAATTTAATCCCTAATTCTCACCACAGGATTATGGACAAATTATATCCCAAAAACAATTATCAGTTTTTTAATATATGGTTTCCGCATTTATATTCCAGTTTCTAAGCTTATAAATACATTTATTGAAGGAATCAATATAAAAGACGAAAGGTAGAGCAGGTCCCTGAAGGATCCAGTCCAGGTAGACCGGGTCCTCGGAGGATCCAGTCCAGATAAACCGGGTCCTTGGAGGATCACACTGTAGAGTACATGTGTGTATACTCTATGTTCATATATTCCATGTGTATATACTCTGTGTATATATTCTATGTATGTATACTTTATATACTCTATATATTCAGTGTGTATATACTCTATGTGTATATATTCTATATGTATATACTCTATGTGTATATATTCTATGTGTCCTCAGAGGATCCAGTCCAGGAGGTTCCGGTCCAGGTAGACCGGGTCCTTGCAGAATCTGGTTCAGGAGGATCCAGTCCAGGAGGAACCGGTCCTGATATACCGGGTCTTTGGAGGATCAGACTGTACAGTGCATGTGTATATCCTCCATGTGTATATATTATATGTGTATATACTCTATGTGCATATATTCAATGTGTATATACTCTATGTGTATATACTGTATGTGTATATATTCAATGTGTATATACTCTATGTGTATATATTCAGTGTGTATATACTTTATGTGTATATACTCTATGTGTATATATTCAATGTGTATAAATGCTGTTTATTCAGTGACGTCTCCAAAGCCCTGATGTTTTTATGAAGTTATTCCTCCAGCCCTGATGTCAACAGTCTGTTGATTTATACTAAAATACTCTGCAGTGCTGAGGCATCCTTTTACTGTTCTTCATCTGTTCTTAGCTTAGTGTAGCATGTCGACCTCCCCAAGATGGCGCCCGTGATTTCTGCGCAGTGACAGTGAATGTTGCGGGAGTAAAACCAGCCCTTAGGGGGGCAGGTCTTATCCAGCCCACTAGGTGGCAGCAAAGTGTCTACAGGCTGAGTCATCAACCGGAAGTGACGTACCGCAGCGAAGAAGAGGCTGTCATTCCGGTCAAATGCGGGTAAATGTCAGCCTGAGCAGAACCTGTCGAGAAGCTTGAGTTTAGTGGCGCTGTTTGCTGTTCCTGCTTCGACCTTTGGAGAAAGAAAGCGGGACCATGTTGAGGGTTTGTCTGCGAGGAGTGAAGGCTTCAGCCCGGGTAGGTCTGAGCTGTTAGCTGCTAGCTGCTAGCTTGTTGTCATTCAGTGACCCGCAGCCTGGCTCAAGGTGCTACAGAGAGCTGCTCTCTGCCCGCTAACCTTCATCCTCCTGCTGCTGCTGCTCTGATTTCTGCTTCTGTCTCTCATTATAGTTTCCCTTTAAACATTAA